CACTTGAATAGTCTAGATTTTTATACAAGCTAGTGTATATAAATGAAAATCTCAAATTCATATCATAGTTATCTATTCAATTAATTATAAATAAACAGTCGTTATATATTCGAACTAAACTGATTCGAAATGTACAATTTTTAATAATTAGAAGTACTATTGTTTCATTTTTAGCTTATTTATATAACCATTATTTTATCAATTTTAAAATTTAATTTATTTAGAAAACGTAAAAAGTCGTTTTTAACAAGTATATCTAAATAATATGAAGTCCAAAATGCAGATTACCTCTCAAAGTATAAAGCTTGATTTATTTGCGTGAAGGCACACATAAAATCCCAAGATACTCGATTTGGAAATTTAGGATGTAAGTCAATGATAGTGGTTTTGAGCCAAACCTTTTGAGTTGTAAGATGGAATGTCTTATTGTCATAAATCACTTATAGTCTTATAGCATGAACATTCTTTGTTTTTCTTACTTAAAATAGAGATAATTCATTATTTTTTTCGTGCATTGGCAAAACTTCTTTCCGTAAGAACTTAGTTGATACGAAAGAAACACGACTTAGATATTTCAACTATATTAATGAACGAGAAGAAACGACCACATTCATTGGACCTGTTATTTTCTAATTAGGCTTCGAAATTTCATTGAAATCAGGAAATAAAGAAGTTAAGAACTATATAACAAGTTAAACATTCCAACAACGTGCATTTTGAACATTAAGGTATACAGTAACAGTATTATAGACAGTATATAAATATGTAAAGTAAGGAACTGAAAAAAAGAAGAGAAAAGTTATATATCGAATGTGCAACGAAAAAATATAATTATTTAGATTATATATTAATAAAAATTTTGGATAATATAGACACATATATACACACACACAAAGATAAAAGATCCCCCTCCCCTCACTGTTGAGTAAAGACTAAGATGCCTATCTTATTTGTTTTTAAGAAATAGTATCTGAAATTTAATTTTTGTAGAAGCATTTGACTTTCATTCCGACAAAGTCTAAATCATCTTTTTTTTAGCAGTTTATTTCGGATAAAATTAATTTTTTTACTATCGAAGGTCAACTTATCTTTATCTTTGATTCAATTGATTAATTGCACATATGATGTAAAAATTTTTATTTATATCACATATCAAAACTAAACTCTTTTTTTTGTCACAAATCAAAACATAAACCTTAAAAATCTTAATTTTGACCCAAACATTTTTTTTCTATAGGTTTACGGTTTACCATATATGTATTGTTTTATTTAGGAACACTTTCTACCCAGATGTAGGCAATTGATTTCAACAGACTTTTATTTGTGCAGAATTGCCGATATACCGACCAATGTGTAATTTTTTTTTTTTTTTTTTTGACCAATGTGTAATTTGCGTCCGTCATGCGTGTTTAATGTGTCTTACTTTCTTCTTTTTTTTTTTTTTTTGTAATCTGCCCTACCATCTTATTATAACCAAACGACATTTTCCCATATGATATCTAATTATAATAACTTTTCTCCCTAAACATTATTTGAGATTCATTTATTTTAACATTTTATTTTCTTTGTATCTTTCTACCACACAAGTCGGTTCTTTAGTCAACAAGTTCTCCACTATCCTTACAATTATACATAATAATGAATGATAAGAAGAAGAGAAAAACAAATCAAACATGGTTCTCGTTATTTCCGGCTCGATTTTCTTTCCCGTAAATATGCATTTCTTATAAATATGGTTAAGAAAATTAGCATTGTAGTAATGGAATTTTTTTCCAATAAATATATATCCAACTAAAAAGGTTAGTAAAATTCAAACCACGTGGTGCGTAACCTATAAAGATAATAATATTGTGAGAACAAGTTCTAACACTGAAAGACTAACCAATTTGTTTTAGAAATATACATTGTCATTTTGAAGAGAAACAAAACCATACATGATCTTCATTTTAAGTTTAATAATGTTATTCACATTGTCATTTTGAGTAGGGATTACTATTGCGTAGATTTCAAGCGATAGACTATTCAAGATTAGTATTAGTAATGTTTTTCTAATAGAACCTAACTAAATAAAGAATATGGATCCCAATTCTCATTATTTAATTATGTTTTATATTAGTCAGGGCCCCTTCAAGTCAGGAAAAGTTTTCTTATTTTTTGTTTAGGTCGGTGGATATTTCAAACCATCAATTCTCAAATATCTTTTGCCTTTTTAATGAATATACGTGTGATATCTTCTTACAAATATGTTACATTCTCAATTGGTTTTAAGAATGTTCTTAATAATGAAAAATGATAGTCAGTGTTATTTTAGATAAAGAAATTATACTCAAGAAAATTCTATCCTATTTATTTATTATAGAAACTACTTTTCTTTTATATTAGTGGTCTTTGAATTGTGCGAGGGTGAATGAGTTGGTCATTGACGTAAAAGAATGGTCATGATCAAAATGTTGATAATGGCTATGATGGTCAACATATTTTTAGTTTTTGATTTGATTATATCCTACCTGCCTTAATTCTATTATTAACCACTCTCGAATTTGTTTTTGATCTTACCAATCAAAATACTTTGTACATCATCTTTATCGCATAGGTAGATAGCAAAGTCTAAATATTGGCAGGTTAAAATAACATTACTTTTCTTGGCATAACCATCAACGTGTTTAAAATACATGTTTATTTAAGATTTTGGACACGTACTAACAATTGGATCTGGCTAGCAGCATTCAAAAACTTTCTACGACTAGATTAGCAATCATCATGTTTCTGCCTAATTTGACTCGCTTTTAATTTATTGTAGTTTTCTAGTCAAATTCGATGATGGTTTAGAGTATTATTGCCTAATGCGTGGTTTTTTCTAACACTATAAATAAATTGACATTAATCTTTCGATAGTTGTAATTCTATACTTGCAATTATTCGAGAAAAATGAGCATATGTACTATATTAATAGTATAAATTTCATGTTCAACTCATCAAATAAACATAATATTAGATTACGACGACGTTAGAAAAACAATTGGATTAGCATCATATTTAGTAACATTCATATAAAACTATTGTGACATAAACAAAATCATGCAATATTTGTATAAAATATGCCAGTATTATCTTGTCATGCATTTAGCTAAAGTAATGTCGGTGTAAATAATTGATTCTAGGCTTTTGGTCCTATGTTTAGATACACATACATTAATACTAAATTAAAAAAAATCAGTTAGTGTCTTTAGTCTGGTATGATGGGTACATCAGTCTCAGCATTTTCGTGTGCATTGAATGTGAACATTCTTACATCAAATCTTGACTTCTTTTTTCCCGGATACGCTTTTTGGGATTGTAAATCAGATGTCAATATTAATAAATTACAAATGTAAACTAAATAAATAAGTTTGTGAAAGCTGTATAAATGAATTTAGGTAATGGCAAAAGATAAAAAGTACTTACGTAAATTATAATTTCTAGCCTTTAACATCAAATTTATAACTGACCGACAGAAAAATGTATAACTACAAGCTAGAGTTTTTAATTATATTTTTAATTTATAATTGTTTCTCGTATGTCTTTTTTTTTCTTTCTTCAACGTTTTTATAGAGTCGACTCAACACTTTTATCGATCTTAAGACAACAAAATTTTTGGACCCTTAGAATTTTTTTTTTAGTATTTGTACCATAAAAAAAAATTATATGATATTTTTATTAAAAATTAATTATTAAAACTAAAAATTAAATACAAAATTTTATGAATCCTTTTAAATTTTATTTTAATGTTAGTCTAATTCTTTTAATACATTTATAAAAGTATTTTAAAAAATAGGCCTCTTTATTATTCGAACACGAGATTAGATTCTTTACCGTCGCACCAGCCGCCCCTATGTAAGTCGGCACTGCATTTATGTGTCTATTTTAACTCTGAGAGACTCTTTCTCTTTTTGTTTGTTTTGATTTAACTCTACAAGTTGATCGTAGTAACTAATACTAATAGGGATTTTTCGAATGCGTAAAAACTTCTAACCATATTTCATCGGTGATGACCATATTTCCATATGCATAATTCTTATTATATTTATTATTAATTATGTCAACAAAATCTATTTATTTACGTACTACTTTAGTTATTTTGTTGAGTTCACGTGTTGGCTTATTTGATAACCCACGTGGTATCTTCGTCCACGCATTATGAGGTAGACTGCCCCCTGCTTCATTCTTCCCTCGAAATATTCAAATGCTATTTATTACAAATCTGTTCGTGTTTTTGACAAAGTTTCTTGAAAGTTTAGGATATTTATATTAAGTTTTTTAATTCGATAACTAATTTCTTATATGATTTTCAAAAGCAAGTTTCTTAACTATAATCATCCTTTATTAACCCTTACAGTATGAAGTTATCAAACTAAATTATATCTTATATCTACAGATTTTAATTGGTTTTACAATATATAGTGACGAATGTATAATTTTATAATTAATCTCAGTTTCCCAATTATTTAAAATTTACACCATATTTTAGCTAGAAAAATTTCACCTTCGACTAATGTTATTTCGATAAACTTTTTATTGACTATCATTTCTGAAACATGAACTGTGGTATTTTGGAGAAACATTATTAAACCTAAACTTTGATTTATGAGTATATAAATCACCCTTATATTATACATATGAAATATCCATTTTCCGAAGATATTTGTCTTTCGCTTACTTAAAAATGTTGAAGCTAGAAAATTTTAACTTTTTGGAAAATGAGTTATTATTTCAGTATTTCTTATCAACAAAATGCATTCTATTGGATTCCAACGCAAACAATAATATAGCTACAAAACTATCACAAAGCACTACAAAACAATAATATTATTAATCAGTAGTTTATTACATTAAATTTCGAATATTTTCATGTAAGACTTCAAATATATTCAATTTTTTGCAGCAATTCTCATGTCAATAGTCATTACTCTCTCTCTCTCGCACCTACCCAACTCTATATAAGATTTCTCCTTCTTCTTTTTTTTCTTCTCATCGAACTTTCCTCTCTCTTCTCTTCTCTATTTCTCTTCACTCTTCCACTCTTGAGACGAGAGGAAACAAAAAAAAACAATCAGTGTCTGAAGCCTCTCTCTATAACAAAGATCAAAACAAAAGCCATGGTTTCTCTTCTTACAATGTCGATGTGTGGTACTAAAACATGGCCTCAAGCCCAAACTGATATGGGTTTTAGGCCCATTAAAAGACAGCCGAAGATTATTAAATGCACGGTGCAGATCGACGTTACCGAATTAACCCAAAAACGCCAATTATTTACACCCAGAACCACCGCCACTCCGCCGCAGCATAATCCTCTCCGGCTAAACATCTTCCAGAAAGCGGCGGCGATTGCGATCGACGCAGCTGAGCGGGCGTTGATCTCACGTGAGCAAGATACTCCTCTACCTAAAACCGCCGATCCACGTGTTCAGATAGCTGGGAATTATTCTCCGGTGCCGGAATCTCCCGTCCGGCGAAAGCTCACCGTCGAAGGAACAATCCCTGACTGCATTGACGGAGTTTATGTCCGTAACGGCGCAAATCCGATGTTCGAGCCAACAGCTGGGCACCATTTATTCGACGGAGACGGGATGGTTCACGCTGTTAAAATAACCAACGGTTCAGCTAGCTACGCGTGCCGGTTTACAAAAACCGAGAGATTGGTTCAGGAAAAACGACTGGGTCGACCGGTTTTTCCGAAAGCAATCGGTGAGCTTCACGGTCACTCGGGAATCGCACGTTTGATGCTGTTTTACGCACGTGGGCTTTGTGGTCTCATCAACAATCAAAACGGCGTCGGAGTAGCAAATGCCGGTTTGGTTTACTTCAATAACCGGCTTTTAGCTATGTCAGAAGACGATTTACCGTACCAATTAAAAATAACTAAAACCGGCGATCTCCAAACCGTTGGACGTTACGATTTCGACGGTCAGTTAAAATCCGCGATGATTGCCCACCCGAAACTCGACCCGGTAACGGAGGAGCTTCACGCGTTAAGCTACGACGTCGTTAAGAAGCCTTACCTAAAATACTTCAGATTTTCACCTGACGGCGTTAAATCGCCGGAATTGGAGATCCCGCTCGAAACTCCGACGATGATTCACGATTTCGCTATAACGGAGAATTTCGTGGTGATTCCGGATCAACAAGTCGTGTTTAAGCTCGGCGAGATGATTTCCGGTAAATCTCCGGTGGTTTTCGACGGAGAAAAGGTTTCGCGATTGGGTATAATGCCCAAAAATGCGACGGAAGCTTCTCAGATAATCTGGGTGAATTCGCCGGAGACATTCTGTTTTCATCTCTGGAACGCGTGGGAGTCGCCGGAGACGGAAGAGATTGTGGTGATCGGATCTTGTATGACGCCGGCGGATTCAATCTTCAACGAGAGAGACGAGAGCTTGAGAAGCGTCTTGTCAGAGATCAGGATAAACCTCAGAACGCGTGAAACCACGCGCCGTCCGTTGTTAGTTAACGAGGATGTGAATTTAGAGATTGGTATGGTTAACAGAAACCGGTTAGGGAGAAAAACCCGGTTCGCGTTTTTGGCTATTGCTGAACCGTGGCCAAAAGTTTCGGGTTTCGCTAAAGTCGATCTTTGCACCGGTGAGATGAAAAAGTATATCTACGGCGGCGAGAAATACGGCGGCGAACCGTTTTTCTTGCCTGGAAGCTCCGGTAACGGCGACGAAAATGAAGATGACGGTTATATATTCTGTCATGTTCATGACGAAGAAAAAAATACGTCGGAGCTTCAGATTATAAATGCCGTTAATTTAAATCTTGAAGCTACCATCAAACTACCGTCAAGAGTACCGTATGGGTTTCATGGCACATTTGTGGATTCAAGTGAACTCGTTGATCAATTATAATAATTATTGTACTTTTGTATGATTTGATAAATTAGAAAAATAGATAGGTTTAAAAGTTATCGATTGTTCTAACGATTTTATCAGTTTGAAGAATGGTTAGATAGATTATAATAATTATTGTACTTTTGAATGATTTGATAAATTAGAAAAATAGATAGGTTTAAAGGTTATCGATTGTTCTAACGATTTTATCAGTTTGAAGAATGGTTAGATAGATTATATTTGGCATTACACATAAATGATAATTTGGCTTTCTTTGGACGTTAGAGACATACCGTTACATAACATATAGCTCGGAAATAACATTTTTAAGAAAATTCCAGTCCATAATCTCACTCAGAATTTTCCATAATTTTAAAAATATTTTCTTTAAAAAAGATTTGGAGATGTTAAGAAAAAGAGTAAAAATACCAGTTGCATTTTCATCATACAAACACTGGTTGACAAGATATGCGATATGACTTAATTAAGTTTTTAAAAGTAATTATATGAACTAAGATATCCTGATTAAAACGGATATATAAATCAGACAATATTGTTTCACAAAAAGATTAAAAGAATGTAAATTAACCAATAACAATAAGTAGATATATAACAATGATATCAATAACAAAAAGATTAAAAGGAAATAAAGTAACTCAATAAATAAGCCATTTACATGACATTTTATTATTATATCTAGTAAATATAGATGGCTGATATATATATTTTTTGATAGCTAAAAAAATGTATATGGGTTCTGATTAAGATTATTTACGTTCATGCATTGACTCTGTATAGCATTATAGAAACTTAGCTGTACTACTATAGAAGATGATGACTATGGCAATGACGAAACAGTAGAAATGACGATGAAACGTAGATTTCTTGTACGTACGTTTATACAAAAATCACCCGAAACCAGCAAAAAATGTTGAAAATTCCCATAGATTTCGAAATCTTTGATCAATTTACAAATGATGGGCAATGATTTGTGGTATTAAGTGAAGCCACGTATGTATAGCTAGTTAATACTATATAGTCACTATATTGTAAAAGCGTCGTCTATAGTGGCTATGATCAGGCTATCGAGTCGATATGTACGCAAATATGTCTAGATATATGGACACAATCGGTGGGATTGTGAGATGAATGTATGATGATGATGTAATGGACCTCATGGTATTTACAACCGTTGCATGGATAATGCAACACGTACGTTGTAACCATTTCGTTTCCATCCAAATTATTTGGACCCAAATTGTTTATCTATGATATGGTCGTCATCCAAAACAAATAGTTTATACAGTGGAGGTAGCCATGTATTTCATCAAGTTTTGTTCTGCTCTGTTCCATAGTTCCAAATCAGAAACGTCTCGAAACTATGTTATTTACAGAAAGTCAAAGTCATATTTTTATTTGGAAACAGAAAAAATGAATTTGAATTCGGATATTAGAGTAGTGGCTATCATCTAACCCGTTGAACTATCTATATTGGGGTTGAAGCCTTGAAGGAAGCAATTCATTGTTATTATATTTCTGTAGTAAATGAAAATAATCATGTTTGGGTTAATGGATCAATTTGTTGCTATATATATCAAACATTTTTCATTTTTGCATTCCAAAAATTATACGCAATGGATGTTTATTGTATATGTATAAATTTTGCATTTATAATCCAACAGAAGGTATAAGAGAAAAAAAAAACCACAAAAAGATAAGAAAAAAAGAATTACAAACGCACATAAATTATATAGGAAATTGTCTTCTCTTAAGATAAAAATCTAATTTAACACGTAAACGAAATTGCATACATACGTTAACAATACTTTAAACACATAATCCATTAACCAAACAAATTGTTAGAGTAATTAAGATCCGATGAATTTTTTTAAAAGGTCAAAAACCTATAATTAACGTTTTCTTCTTCTTCTTCTTTTTTTTGGGTCAAAAGAACCTATACTATTTTTTATAAGAAAATTTTTTTGAGTAAAAATCTCACATTATTCCCAAACAGATAAATAAGATCCATATATCCTTATCATGTAATGCATTTTATAGTAAGTGAAATCACAAATATGAAAACTCAAACCCTAATCCCTCAACTTACATAGTGAACATTACAACCATTACACCATCATGGATTGGGTTATTGAACTAAATCTACAAATCTCATATCCAATTCTTTTACTTAATGTAAGTATTCGATTATATAAAGTTGGATGGAAATACATTATTGGATCACAAATTCAAACATCCATCTAGCTTTGCATCTCTCTGATGACTATTAAATTGAAGAGGTGAATAAGATTCGGTTACAGCTTGGCCGGGAGGTAATGAGGAATGTCCCAATCGGTCTTGATGTGGTTTCGGCTGATCTCTCTCAGGGAACGGCAGCCACTTAGTGCCATTGTCAGCTCAAACTCGTCTTTTAGCATTTGCAACATCTTCCTCACTCCCGCTTCTCCATCCGCGGCAAGCGAGAACAAGCTCGGCCTCCCGACCTAATCGAACGAGTAGTTAATCACATGTCCTTTGGATATTAATATGATCAGTGATAGTACTCATAGGCAGCAATGGGACATACATTTCTTTGGGATCATTTTGACAAATTAAAAAGTTTGGGCACGATATGAAAAAGAGGTAAGCAATCAGGGAGTCGTGGATTATCAGATGCTCGGTGGATGTTCTATATGCAGCTGACTAGCAGAGATATATACTACAAATCCAGAAATAAAAAGAACAGAATAAAACAGAGGATATGTTTTGGTTTGTTTTGAACAATTCAAAAGTTTGGGGCACAATGTGAAAAAGTGGTAAAAAATAAAGAAGAGACAATCAAGGTTATTCCAATGAAACTGAAAATGAAGGTATTGATTTGAAAATAATGAGAGAAAACAGGGGAAATGACAAGAACAAAGTGTATATGATGAATGAACTTACAAAGACACCTGAAGCGCCAAGAGCCAATGCCTTAAAGACATCGGTTCCACGGCGCACCCCACCGTCAAGAAAAACCGGAATCCGACCCTCTACGGCTTTCACCACCTGCGATTTGAGTTTGCTCGATTAATCAATAAAGAAAGTTGAAACCTTTGTTTTAACAGTTTTCAATCTAGATATATTTGAAAGTTTACCTCTTCTAAGGCCACTATAGTTGCAGGGACATAATCGAGCTGACGAGCTCCATGGTTAGAGACTATTATCCCTGCAGCTCCATATTCAACAGCAATTCTTGCTGCCAAAATTTCAAATGATCAAAGGAATTTTCTTAACATTATGAAAATTGTAAGCAGAAGGTTGATGCAGATTTCTCATTCTTAGTATATTTGTCTTACCATCCTCAGCTGTAATAACACCCTTGACAAGAATTGGCAAGCTTGTGATAGATTGGAGCCATTTTATATCCTGTAAGACGAAAACAAATAGCGAAAAGAAGCGAGGTTACTATGTTTCTGAATCTTGGTGAGCAAAAAGAATTGATCTTGTTACATTCTCTGACCTTCCAGCTAAGTGATTGATCAACTTGACCCGCAACATAAGAAGCTAGCCCTGAGTCATTGGTCTGCAAAATGTCAACAGAGCAAAAGAAAAACAAATTTTAAGTATTGAGCATATTAGATTAATTGAAGACTTTGTTATATGTGTTTTGACCTTGTCTATTTTCCCAAGATCCAACCCTTCGAAGTTCTTCAACGTTAGACCTCGAGGAAGCGCGAATCTGCAAGATAATAACCATCAAGAAAACCAAAAGATATAACAAACTGGTGACTGTGATGGTGGAGAAGTTTCATCACCTGTTTTTGATGTCAGATTCTCTGCGTCCAAGCCTCGGAGTATCTACAGTAAGAGCAATCGCTTTAAATCCAGCTTCTTCAGCTCGTTTCACAAGCTGTATAACCACATTTCTATCCTTATAAACCTGAATCAAAAGAACAAAATAGTTGATTCAAAGTCAAAAACCGAAAGAACAAGTAAATCTTTTGAAACTTACATAGAGTTGGAAAAAACGAATCCCGGGTCCTGTGGAAGCAACTTCCTCAACACTACAAGTAGCCCACGAAGATAAAGTCTGAAAACATCAAAGAATACATAAAATGAAAACACAAAATACATATCCAATCAAGTAAAAGAGACAAGAGAGAATGAATCAAAACCATGATTGTTCCAGCAGCAGAAGTAGCTCTCGCCGTTGCAAGCTCGCCTACAACAATAAGATCTTAGCGTTATCAGATAAAGACTCTAAACTAAAGTCTTCTTCTTGACAAGAGACCTCAAAATTATTTTTTTGTATACACTGATCATTACATAACACTAAAGACTTACCATCAGGATGAGCCATTTTCTGCATTGCAGTAGGAGCAATCATGATAGGCATAGAAATGTTAAACCCTAAAACCCTTGTGCTCACATCAATCTTGCTTACATCAATAAGAATCCGAGGCCTAAATCTGTTTCCAACTCATAACACAAAACAATCAAATTCCTTAAACAACCAATCAAAAGACAGAGAAATAACACATTTTGAGTCCTTGTTGGGAATAGTTTCTCTTACAGAATCCTGGAGAAAGCGTTTCGATTCTCTTGAAGAGTCCATTGATCTTCAGCACCAGATGCATAGTAATCATAAACCATCTTTGGTAATTTCTCCTTTGCGATCTTCTCATATTCCATCACGTTAGTTATCTCCATTTTTCTTGCTCAACCTCAAAAAAATATTCCTGTCACAGAAAGAGTTATGATTACAACTTTTCATCATCAAAATCATTTTTTTAAATCCTTGAATTCAAGAATCAGGAACAAAAAACGAGACTGACACTAAAAAGGTCAATTAACAGTAGAAAAAAGCAATCACATAATCATAAAATCTAACCCCAGATTCTAATATCACAGGATCGTCGGCACTCGTTGACTATGATATACGATGAAAATCTAACAATCATGAACAATCATAATCAAGAAAAGCAACACAGAGCTTCTAACCTAAAGGCCTAGAGCGACTTGGTCTTCTCGGGAAGGTGGCGAAGAATAATAATATAAGAAGAAAACAAAATGTTAATTGAATACTCCTAAATCCTAATATAAATATAAACACACAGTCACAAAGAAACATACGTCTCTGTGACTGTGTAAGTGTGATTGTCACGTGACGGGTCTGTTTCCAAGAAAAACAAGCTCACTAGGGCTTTTCATTTGTTACAATATGCATGGTTTAAGAAGACCCATTATCAAATAAGATGGACCAAATTAGTCATTTGTGTTTTGGCTCCAACTTTATGATTTATCATATACTTGGAGTCCGCAAAATGTAGTTTTGTTTTCAAACTTGGTTATATTCAGAATGAGTGTTTTTTTTTCTTGATAACGCATAGTAAATCTCCAGATCTGGAGGGACACAGGACTAATTCTTGGGAAGACGTTGTCCTACGGGTAGAGTCTCCCCCAAATTTTCAAATGGGCCATAAACAATGGGTTTATACCCATGTGACCGGAGAATGAGTGTTGTTAAGACGATGAATTAGTAACTTTGTTTTCCAAGAGACTCCGGCATGTGAAACCCGTACATCTTTTTGGGTCGGGATTAGCAGTTCAAAACCCCTACCGAGCAGCGCACGAGAGTAAAGAGATTTCTAGAAAAGTGTTTGTAGCTCAAATGAGCTTTATTTAAGCTACATAAACTATTTACAATCACCATAGAGGTTGCACTTTGGGGAACACCCTCATAACTCATATAAATATGAATCACTTGCTAGAAACCTAGTTACATGGGCTTATAGCTTGGGCTTGTTTGTCTATAATTTTGGGCTTGTGATGTTTTGCTTCAATAGAGAGAAGCACAACTTCTCTCATTCCTTTGGAAAGACTATGTTTTGAACATCAGCTCCCATATTTTCTGCTTCGGTTTTTGAATTTTTGTTATGTTCATGATGATCTCACGGAGGTTAGTGTAATATTTTATTAATAATTTCTTTTAAAAATTGTATTCTAAGGTGTCATGCCAAAAAAAAAAAAAAACTCTTCTAAGTGGTTCTCGGGATTATTGATTATTTTTAAAAAAGGAAAACAATATGTAGAAAATAAGAAGAAAGTTCTGTTGTAGCTTAAAAAAAACGCAACTAAGGTGCATTAGGGTTTAATGAGTATAAATAGTTGGTAATTTGGGGAAAGTGAGCACAGAGAGAAATCAGAACCCTAAGCGAGAGAAAAATCATGTCATCGTCGGAAATAATGGCGTCAGAGAATGGCAAGGTGATCATGGTCAATGATTTTGTAAGGTTGTCGAATGAGTTCTTTGGGGATGGTTGGGAACCGACTCAGGAGATGTTGGCCAGCAGCGCGAAAGAAGCTCTGAATGAAATCGCCGGCGATGATTGGGAACTCCGTCATCGTTGCATCAATAGAGCTTTGGCTAACTTGAGGGTTGTACACGAGTTTAGGAAGCAGATCAACCGTAACAAAAAGGCTGCTGAGGAAGCAGCTAGCGGAGTTACCTCATCGAACTCGGTAAGTTTTATTGTTTCCTTTAAATCCGTTTTGTAGCAAAATTCTAATTAGAGGAATTGGTGGTACTAATTAAATTGAATTGGTTTATTCTCTAATCAGGCTACCACTAATGATGTGAAGACTACTATGGCACCTTGACTGATGTGAGCTTTGAGATCATTATGTGATACTTAATTAGGGTTTTTTTTTCTCTTCCAAGTGGAAGACATTTATCTATCTTTTGATTTTGTTTCACAAATTTTAATCTCTAGAAGATAGTGTAAACCATTGCGAAAATCATCTAATTCAATAATGAGTTGATTACCTCATTTGATTTGGTTCAAGAAACTAAACTGATTTATCTAATCTCACCATAATCTTACAAGCAATCATTAGCAGTGCTACATGGAAACATAGAAACAAAGAACTAAAGAAGTTGAGACTAACTTTTCTCACCAAAACATATGGTTAATGATTCTTCTTCGGATTGAATCGCATCGCGGAGTCAGAGAAATAAGAGTCTCGATTCTCCTTAAGGATTCCACTTATCCTTTGCACAAGATGTATAGTAATTCAATCATAAAACCATGAACCATCTATATAGTAACAACTTCTCCTTTGTGATCTCCTACAATGAAACGTACGTCTCTGTGTAACATATGTGTGCTTGTCACGTGATGGTTTAATATATCCGCGAATTAATCCGGTTAACAAAATGTTTAAATCTCAAAACCATTTCCGATTCGACCGAAAAAAACCGGATTTTATTCTTTCTGCCTTATCACCTCTGAGTGGAAGTTGAGTGAGAGCCATTGTAGGAGAGCTTCGAGAAATAAGAAGAAGCCATGACCATGGCTCTTGCTTCTTCTAAAGCTTTTTCCTCAATCTTTTATACTTTAACTCCATTTAAGCAGTCGAATTTTGTGTTAGCTTGCTCCGGTTCGAATCATGTAGTCGTTGATCGGAGAAGAAGAATCATGATCTTTGGTTCGAGTTTCTCGCTCGCGTCGTCTCTGATTGGTTTCAATCAACAGAGATTTCCGATGGAATCTGCGATCGCATTGGAGCAATTGAAAGAAAAAGAAGATGAGCTTGAGGAAGAAGAAGAGAGAAATGTCAATCTCTTCCAGGTTTTGCCCTACTTTTTCCTTTGAGAAGCTTTGTTTTTTGCTCTCATGGTTAAAAAAAAAATTCCAATTTTGTATTTTGCAGAAAACTTCTCCGTCTGTTGTCTACATAGAAGCCATTGAGCTGCCTAAAACGTCTTCTGGTGAATTTAGTGATGAGGAAAATGCAAAGATAGAAGGGACAGGGTCAGGCTTCGTGTGGGATAAGCTTGGTCACATTGTAGGCAAAACCTTTCTTCTGTTATGTTTCTGTGTTCTCAATCCTAGAAAAAGTGAAAGTTTGTTTCTTTGTGCAATGTAGGTGACAAATTATCATGTCATTGCCAAGTTAGCTACAGATCAGATTGGATTACAACGTTGTAAGGTCTCCATCTTCTTTAATCCAATAGTAGTTTAAAATCACAAAGCCAAGTCAAGTAACTTAAGAGCAATCACAGTTTGGTTGTTTGTGTAGGTTTCTCTAGTTGATGCTACGGGAACAAGATTTAGCAAGGAAGGGAAAATTGTGGGTCTTGATCCAGATAATGATCTAGCTGTGTTGAAGGTATATCTAAGAGACTAAGACAATGATGTTAAACATATTTTCAAACCATTTGAGCAATACTTGTTTAGTTCTTTTAACTAGTGTTATATATATATGCAGATTGAAACCGAGGGTCGCGAATTAAAACCTGTTGTTCTCGGTACCTCTAATGACTTACGCGTAGGTCAAAGTTGTTACGCGATTGGGAATCCGTATGGATATGAAAACACCTTGACAATTGGGGTAAGAGTGATAAGATCCTGATTTTTGTGTTCATATATACGCTAAAGTCTAAACATTTCACTTGAAAATGGATTGTTATCATGGGGGCTTTCTAGGTAGTGAGTGGATTGGGAAGAGAGATACCTTCACCTAATGGTAAGAGTATTCGAGAAGCTATACAAACCGATGCTGATATTAACTCAGGTAATTCCCAAACACATCTATCAATTGTCTCCTCCCATTCAGTTTTATGAAAATCGCTGTTTTTCCGTCATGTAATATAGGCAATTCGGGAGGGCCGTTGCTTGATTCTTATGGCCATACCATAGGCGTGAACACTGCCACATTCACCCGAAAAGGTGAAATATGATCTTTTACCAAATCTAAGAACATAACCATTACTATATTCTTTGATTCTCTGTTTTTTTCCAACACAAATATGATACTGAAGAGTTAACTTGTTGTGTTGCAGGGAGTGGTATGTCTTCTGGTGTGAACTTTGCTATTCCCATAAACACCGTTGTCCGAACAGTACCCTACCTCATTGTGTATGGAACAGCTTACAGAGACAGATTCTGAAGAAAAACAAACATCTTCTTTTGCATTTTTTCTATTGTTTGTTGATAATACAATTTGAAAAGTTTCTGACTTTTGTCTCTCTAAATGTAAATACAAAAAATTCCAAAAGAGTTTCCAATGTATTGTATACATATTTCTTCACAAAAACATGGGAATCATTGATCATACAAGGACATGGAATAAAGTTTTGATTTTGGGCACAATGCAGAGACGAAATCCATGATAAGAAGACCTATTATTGATTACAACATTGATGAAACTTGGAAAGATTTTAAAAAGAGGCTCTAATCTTTCAGCTGAATCAATGAAAGCTGTTCCTCGATAGAACAATCGACATGGCAAGATGTCCTGCAAGAGGAAGGGATTAGGATCATACCAAGACAACGCTGTTCAGTAGGCGAAGGAGACGATCTTCTTATGCTACGATACTCCACGGTATCCTGGAGAATGATGTTCCCTTGTTTGTCAATGCAATGGAAATTTCCCAGGAAGAATCTCCCGTCTTTGATTCCCACAAGCATTTGACGGAACAAGAGCTTCCTCACTCGAGATATCGGATCTAAATTCGACCCTTCAGAGGTCGATGCAACAATGGTTGAGCTCCTCTGTGCAGCTTGTTCCATTCCAACAACAAGCTTCTTATTCTTGTATATGCATTTAAACCAGAAAAACCTTAAACATCAATAACGAAACATTCACATTATGAAGAAACAGCCAAAACAGATAGCACTCGAATCTTATAGATACAATAACTGAAGTTCTAAACTTCTTGAAAACCATTCTCTGAAACTCTTAGATACATCTGGTTCTTGCCTCAATAATTCAAATAGGGCTAATTCCGGAATCTAAAAGTCTATAAAGTTAACATATATGAACCAAAATCCAACTAATTTTCCAAGGAGAAATCCTAGTTTCACAACTTCGAATCTAGCGATGCAAACAGAAGTGGGAAAAAAAAAAGATTTGAAATTCATGAAGTAGATTCAAAACGAAACTGAGGGTATCCGAAAATTCTCAATGCCCTACACAAGTATGAGTTGGGGATTAGAGATCAAACCTTAGGGCTTTCTTCAGTTTCGATTACAGAGTTTTGGTTTTTGTTAAAACATAGAGAAGAAGCTCAAAAACAAAAGGCTTTGTTTACATAATTGCAGTTATGGGCTTTGTATTTTTAAAATATTTTGTTTTATCCTCTTTGACTTTTTTCTGTTAATTTTACACCCTTTTGACAATATTCAAGTGTTGCAAGATGAATAAATTTATGTACCTTTTGGCTGAGACTTTCTCTCTCTTATCCCTCTCATATCTTTTAGAGAGAGAGAGTCTTCTTCTTCAGTTTTTGTTCTTCCGATTTCAATCGGAGATGTACATTATTCGCTTTCAGCGATCAATAATTTCCAGCTTTGTGCTGGACTTTTGTCACCGGCTATGTCCGGTTGGTACTCGCTTGTAGCGAATTTCGGTCTCTTTCCATCTTTTATTTCTCCCATCGAAATCTCCGTTTTTCTTCTCAATCTTCTCCGTTTCTCTCCAATTGCTCGAGATTAATATCTTCGTCACTTTCCAACTGCTCAAACGTGAGTCAAGATTGGATTAAAGTCTACATCAAATTAGGTGTAGCCGGTGGTGGAGCCTCCCGAGTCTGGCGTTTACCGGAGAAATTTTGAAGTATTCTTCATACAAATCCGGCAGATCTTGATGTTCTATCTCGGTGGATTAGAGATCGGCATAAGGAAGATGGATACTCATCGTCTCGGCGTTGAATCGGCGGTGGCTGTTCGATTTCCGGCGATGTTTGGCGAAGATACGGCGGCAGCGGTGCTACCTTGACGCGTGGATGTGAAGACGACACGTCTTTTACACGTGTCAATTTTAGAATCATATGGGCTTTATCTTTATCTTTTATTATGATTTCGTGTTGGGCCGTTCGATTTCGCATGTATCCTAACGGACCTTATGTAATGTTTGCCCTTTGGGCTTTTAATATAACACTTGGTCGACAAAAAAAAAAAAAAAAGATGAATAAATTTTGAATTTTCCCCAGTAAATCTATGATTAATTGAAGTTAATACCTACATATAAGTAAACCTTTGCACAAAATAGGGTCTTATTAGTCAATTTAAAAGTAATGGGACCAATCACAAAAAAATAATAAATACAGGTTTGTCTTCACGAACGGAGGAGATCAAAGGTCCTTTAGTTCATCTTCTCTTCCGTCATCATCTTCCGAAGGGCTTTTCTCCGATCGATCTCAACATTGTTTCAAAGTAGTTTCTTTTAACCTCGGAGAATCTCTGTATGAATCTCTACCATTCTCTTACTAACCTTTTTTAGATACTTTTTCTTGTTATAATCTTCAAAATTGAACACATTTGTCCCTTTGATTTTCTTTAGTTTCACCCAATTTCAATAAATCTTTGACTTGATTACTCTTAGTCTTAACTGTTCTTAGCAAAAGTTTGCTCCTTTACGTTATTTTAATAAGCTTTTGATTTCAATCTGTTTCCAGGTTCTAAATTCAGTACACTAACAATGGTAGAACGCAAGAAACGGAAACAGAATCAGAGAAACAACAATGAGAGCAACAGGAATCAGAAAAGACGAATTTCAAATAATGGTGAAAAGATTAATAGAGATGAGCTTGTGATTTACAGAATCTTATGTCCTATTGATGTTGTTGGAGGTGTTATAGGTAAGAGTGGTAAAGTCATCAATGCCATTAGGCAAAACACGAAAGCGAAGATCAAAGTTTTTGATCAGTTACATGGTTGCAGCCAAAGAGTCATAACAATCTATTGCTCTGTTAAAGAGAAACATGAAGAAGAAATCGATTTTATGAAGAGCGAAACCGAGCCTCTTTGTTGTGCTCAAGATGCTCTTCTTAGAGTTTATGATGCAATTGTAGCTAGTGATGAAGAGAACATTAAGATAGATAGAGATGATAAGAAGGAATGCCGTCTTTTAGTTCCGGCTAGTCAATCTTCTAGTTTGATTGGTAAGGCTGGTGAGACCATTAAGAGGATAAGAAGTAGAACTCGAGCTAGTGTTAAGGTTGTTTCGAAAGATGTTTCGGATTCTTCACATGTTTGTGCTATGGATTATGACAATATAGTTGTGGTTAGTATCTGAAATTTTTGCAATTTTAAGCGTATTTATTTGCTTGTTCGTTGCTGTTTTATGTTGATGTTTTTTGGTCTTTCTATCTAATAGATATCTGGTGAGGCTGAATCCGTGAAGAAAGCGCTTTTCGCTGTTTCTGCAATTCTGTACAAGATCAATCCTCGAGAACATATTCCTCTAGATTCAACTGGTCAAGATGTTTCAGCTAGTATTATTGTTCCATCAGAACTTTCTAATTCTGTCTATCCTCAAACTGGTTTTTACTCAAATCAGGATCATATTCTTCAGCAACGGGCGGGTGTTCCGTCATATTTCAGTGCGCTACCTGTATCTGATTTTCAAGGTTATGCAGAAACCGCTGCGAATCCAATGCCTGTTTTTGCTTCTTCTCTCCCAGTGACTCATGGTTTTGGTGGGTCTTCCAGATCAGAAGAGCTGGTTTTAAAAGTGTTGTGCCCTTTGTCCAATATTACCCGTGTAATTGGGAAAGGAGGATCAACTATTAAAAGAATAAGAGAAGCAAGCGGTTCTTGTATTGAGGTTAATGACTCAAGAACAAAGTGTGGTGATGATGAGTGTGTTATCATTGTCACTGCTACAGAGGTTTTGTTCTGCTTTTTATTTTTATTTTTATAAGTTATGACGATACTGTGTTGTTGTTTGAGTACTTCTTTCCTTTTTTGGTGTGTTTTTCTTCAGTCTCCTGATGATATGAAGTCAATGGCTGTTGAAGCTGTTCTTCTTCTGCAAGAGTATATCAACGATGAGAATGCGGAAAAAGTTAAGATGCAACTTCTTGTTTCTTCTAAGGTTATTGGATGCGTTATAGGGAAAAGTGGCTCAGTCATAAACGAAATCAGGAAAAGAACCAATGCTACTATCTGTATCTCGAAAGGGAAAAAGGATGATCTTGTTGAGGTTATAATCCTTATTAAAGTTCAAATCTTTTTTCTTCTGTTCCTTTGTATACAGTTTGATATTCTATATTTTCTATCCATTAGGTGGCGGGTGAAGTCAGCAGTGTGAGAGACGCTCTCATTCAGATCGTTCTAAGACTTCGAGAGGATGTTTTAGGAGATAGAGATAGTGTTGCTACTAGGAAACCTCCTGCAAGAACTGATAATTATAGTTTCATCTCGGGTAGTAGTAATGCCGGTTATACACTTCCGTCCTTCATGTCTTCAGTGGCTTCTACAACCGGAGTCAATGGTTATGGAAGTTTTCCGGTATAGTTGCATATTGAATTTCCACTGAATCTCTTATGGTCAATTCCATAATCATGACTGAGGCTTTTTCTATATACAGGCAGGAGATAACGTTTTTGGATCAATCGGTCCATACTCATTTGGACGGTAAATTTGCAAACTACAACGAATAAGTTAGCTTCGTTGTTTTATCATTTAGACTCTTTTTTCTCTGTAAATGATCTTTCTTTATTTATAGATTGCCTTCATCTTCTGCTCTGGAAATTCTAATCCCGGCGAATGCGATGAGTAAAGTTATGGGCAAAGGAGGAGGCAATTTGGATAACATAAGAAGGGTTTGTTTCTGAAATCTTTTGATAATCTTTTCTTCTTCTGTTTTCTTTATTTGGTGATTACCTCTCTCTCCTTCAGATATCGGGAGCAATGATAGAAATTTCCGACTCCAAAACGTCACATGGTGATCACATTGCTCTCCTATCCGGCACACTTGAACAGATGCGTTGTGGAGAGAACTTGGTCCAAGCTTTTATTATGTCCACTTGAAAATTAGTTTGGGATCATTGGACTGAGATTAAATCTTTTCCTTCTCTCTGTCTATAGCTTTTTGTCGAGTTTCATCACTTAGGCTTATTGTTCGGTTTAGCAAGCTGTTAGCTAGATGCCTAGATTAAATGTATATCTCTAACAAATGGTGCCATTGTTAGTATCAAGCTTTTGCTAAATTCTCTGAGCTTGAAACCGGTTCTGTTATGCAGCTATAATCTTATTGGTAAATGTTTTGGTATCATCTTTCATTCAAGGTTCTTGATGCTTAAAATCATCTTCTAGATCTCAGTAGTCTTTATGCTCTCAAAGGTTTCTGAATCTTTCAATGGAGATCATGTTGTGAGGCTTGAGAGTTGAGACTCATTCTTTTGTTATCTAATTTTTGTTTGGTTCGGTTTAACGGTTATGTGGCTGGAATTTATAGTTTATACATTTTGCCTTTACTTTGTATTCTTATGAGAAACGTAGCTAATATGCATCAATGCAAAAAGTACGTGAAGTCGTGAACGAGAATCCAAAAGTACAATGTGTAAATAATATTAGACATATCGTGGCAATATGTTAATTTCATTACGTAAATATGTATATGTTTGTGATCAGCACATGTACATACGGAGAAATACAAACACATTCATATGATTGGTTGGTTTTTCCGATTTTATAATATATAAATGTGTTCGATCATAACAAGAAAACTAAATAATTGTGAGAAATAATAGTAGCTAGATGATCTGGAAATCGTGTTACGAATATATTTAATTTAGCTGGATTTTATTTAAATTATTTTCTTGAATTATGATGCAAGAGTGTGTTATTTAGGACGGAAGAATCTTGGATGTTGCATAATCTTTTGTTTCTCTATTTTCGAGTTATGTTGCTGCTTTTGCATTTAATAGTCACATGTTTCTCTGTTGTACTCCATTATTATTCATCATATTCTATATTTTATCATAACTTTTCTATATAATTTTCCCACCAAGATTTTTACTTCTTCTTTAAAAAAAAAAAAAAAATTTAAGGCTTTCATTTCTTTAAATGAATTAATTAGAATTTTTTTTTTTTTCTCCTCATTGTACATGAATTTTCAAGAACAATAAAATCCAAATGAAAGAGTTAACAAATGTAAGAGAATATCTTGTACGGAGGGACGATTTTTACGTCGACGACCAAAGGTGGGAAACGGCGGGACGTGCAAACTAAGAATAGACACATGACACGACGTCGACGTGCATGTGACACCAATATCTGCGGCTTTTTTTACTTGTTTGCTAAGTCTCTTCCTCTTATTGATCAGATCTAAATCAATGCTCTGTACTCTGTAGTCTGTACTGTGGCCATTTCAGATTTAACACATGACTTGTCCAAAACATTTTCAAATCTTTTTTCTTTTCTTCCGACTATATATCATCTTAAATTATATTGAGGTTGATTATAGTAACACTTAATAAGTTGTGCGAAGAATGTATCATTGGTTATAGTCGGCAAAACTTTTGTTCTCAATTGCTTATTGCATGGAAATATATAAAGAAGACTTTGAAACCAAATTATATATGTCAATTGGAGTTAAAGTTGTTAAATTGGAAAAATATAAAATATTTGAAAAGTATACCAACATATGTAATGCAGTTTGTGTTTCTGGCCATTCCTATCATTGGAATCCAATTTTCCAACATATTAAAAAATAAAAGATATGTCCTATAGGAGTAGACTAGAGCACTAGCTAGGAACATCCAATTCATTCTCAACAAATGAATGACCTAACGACTTATCATGTGGTACAGCTAAGTCGAAAATCTTTTATTGAGTGTGTTATTATAATACAATCCATTATCCATATCATGCGAATGGAATGAATAATCTTGTATAGAATAATAACCATATAACTGTATCTCTCATCTATCCATATTTGATTATTGAACCCACGAAGCATTACAACTATTTGTGTTATTATATGAATAGAAAAACTAAATAATTAAACAATTTTAAAAATAAATACACAATCGTATACCATACTAATCGATTTTAATATTGACGTTGTTGTAATTTCGATTTTATCTCTAATTTCAAAATAATATCGTTTATTACGTACACAACACAATCAAACCAGCCGAAACTATATATCGTTTTGCTTATTTACATTCCACGTCATGCGTCTAACATCGTGTTAGTCAAAATAAAAATTGGCTAATGGAATTACGGTTCAAATAGATAATTTTAATTAGACTTTAAAACACATGATATCATTATTTAGCTTGTATTATGTAAAATGTTACACACATCAAATATTTTACCATAACTTGTCATTGTCTTGTTGCCTTGTTTTGGTAATTACAATCAAATCTCTCAATCATGTTTAAACTAATCAAACTCTTCCACGCGTCACACGCGCTTAATTTCTTATTCGTCTTCAAACAACAGACAAAAAAAAAAAAAACAAGTGGGATCTATTTATTTATCATCCTCCTTCATTAGATTCGTTTCTCTCTCTATGCGTTATCTTCTTCTTCTCTTCTCAAAGATCTGAATTCTCTCAAACTCATCAATGGCGATAATTCTCCGTTCATCAGATCCACTCCTCTCTCGAATCCATCCGCAACCACAACAAATCGACCACTTCGATCACCTCCCTGACTCAATCCTCCTCCTTATCTTCAACAACATCGGCGACGTCAAAGCCTTAGGTCGTTGCTCCGTCGTCTCCAAAAGATTCCATTCCTTAATCCCTCAAGTCGAGAATGTCGTCGTTCGTGTCGATTGCGTTATCTCCGACGACGATTCTTCCTCTCTCATCTCCGATAAACCACGATCCGTCGCCGCCGCTACTCCTTTCTCCGCCATTTTCCGTCTCGTGTTTAAGCCGTTACAAGCTTTGGGACAGTTCCTTAAACGCTCAGGTTCTGCTTCTTCTCCTTCGGGATCATCTTCTCCTTCTTCGTTGTTGATTAGTGGTGGTGGTGGAGATGATGGAGAGATTGAACAAGGAGGTGTGACGCATCATTCTCCGACTCAGGTTTTGAAAAACTTCGATGAGATTCGGTTTCTTCGTATCGAGCTTCCTAGTGGTGAATTAGGGATTGATGATGGTGTTTTATTGAAATGGAGAGCTGAATTTGGTTCTACTCTTGAGAATTGTGTCATTCTCGGTGCTTCCTCTGTGATTCCGGCGACGAATTCGGATACTTCCGTTGATCTTAGTAGTAGTAACACCGCTGTGGCGGTGGCAGAGGATAATGGAAGTATACCGGAATCGTTTTATACGAACGGAGGGCTTAAGCTTCGTGTTGTATGGACAATTAGCTCTTTGATTGCTGCATCTGCTAGACATTATTTGTTGCAGCCGATTATAGCAGAGCATAAGACGCTTGATAGTTTAGTGCTTACTGATGTTGATGGTCAAGGAGTGTTGTGTATGAATAGAGATCAGTTAGAAGAATTGAGGGTGAAGCCATTGTCAGCTTCTTCAGCTTCTAAGAGGACTCTTGTACCTGCTTTGAATATGAGGCTTTGGTATGCTCCTACTTTGGAATTGCCTGATGGGACTGTGTTGAAGGGAGCGACTTTAGTGGCGATTAGGCCGAGCGAGTCGAAGAAGGAGGTGTGTGATGTGTCTTGGGTTTCTTCTGCGTTTGATGAGTCTTATGGGGTAGCTGCTAAGATGTTGGTTAAGAGAAGGACTTATTGTCTTGAAATGAATTCGTTCTAAAGCTTGGAGATTTCGATAAGTCGGATCTGAGGTATGAATTGTGCATGAAAATGCTCTGTTTTATGATGTAATTTTGAGTATCCTGGATTGGTTTATTGATTCTAGTAATGATTAGTTGCCTCGAAAACTGAAACATTTGTTAAGCATTCATCATAGCTTGACATTGAAAGATTGGGAAATTTTTTGTTTTGGACAGAAGTTTCATTGTCACAACCTTATTCTTTGACTCTTCTTTGTTTGATAGGTGAATGGATCACAAAGGCTAACCATGTTTTGAAAGAGACTACAATGCAGAAAGATCAGTTTTGTATTAAGTGTGACTAATCCTAGATTCACCAATGGGGCTCAATGTTATCTATTCTTGGTCTATTGGAAGCTTCAAATTCCGTCTGCTTGGACACCGGAAACCGCATTCGCTGGCTGTTTTTTTGTTTCAGCTCGCATAGCAATCATGTAAGAGCAAGTTTTCATCTTATAAAATCTTCCATGTACCCTTTTTCTTTCATTATTATGTGAATATTATTTGTAGGTAAGAGATACAGTTGTTTTGCTTCTTCTCCTTGTCTTTGTATACTTGTCCCAAGTTGTTAAAAAAATAATGTTGAGCAATGTAAGTACTTTATTACTATTTACCACATTAGGTAATTTCGTTTGCCAACTGCAAAATAAAATATAAATAGAAATAAAAGTTAGGTGTTTTACTTGTTCGTAGTTCCTCTTAGTTTTCGTATTTTTTTTTTAAGTTTTTCATTTAATACCAAAGGCAAAGAGTGGTTCATGAGACTCAGGGACCAGTACCACTGTACCACCATTGGATTCGGGTTCGGTCCTAAAGTTGAATTAAAAACAAAAATCAGTATATTTTATAAAATAGAAAGGAATTTTTTTGACTTAATGTAATCTCTGCAACCTACGATAGTACGATACCATGTTAATTACACATGGAATTTGAACTCATTTTTGAACCAATGTTTTGCACTTTCTGTGTATATTAATCGAATTATTTAAAACCCAATGAAATGCAACTTGGTCTAAAACCAGCGACGCTTGTTAAAATATGAATTGGTGGACGCAAGCAATGTGTGCCTAAATGTTTTTAAATAGCCAACTTAAAACAATACATATATTGAGAATGTGAATTTTAAAAAAAAATCTGCTTTACATTGATTACATATGCATATCACATGACAAGAAGTATTATATATGTAGATATGTTTAGTCTGTTTGAAAGATATTGGATGCTTCAAGAAGAAAGAGCCCACTTGTTTACTTTCGGGCAGGCAAAAAGTTTGTGATTGGGATGAAATTATTGTACCCTTTTAGCCAACTTTTGACAATAAAATTATGATTACTTATTGAAATTTTGGTGGACATTAAGTAATGATATTGTAGAATGTATGTCACTATAGTCTTTATTATTTTTCGTAATAATATCTGATGAAGACACTATTTATCAGATACGTTCGCACAACACTTTTTACCACGTTTACCAAAAAAAAAAAAAAAAAAAAAAAAACACTTTTTACCATAAAGATATATTTTACATAAAACAAAATGATATGCTTCTGTTATCTATGGGAGTTTAATCTTTGTAATTTTTACTGTAAAAAAATGGAATTTTATTTTGCATCAGAACGTATTAGTAGTCCTGAACCTCTAATTATTAAAACTAAATAACAAATATTTTATTAAGTTTGATAAAAATAAACTAATAATCTTAGTAGCAAGAATTTTTGTACTTTCTTTGACAAATTTTTTTTTTTTTTTGTATTTTTATTTTATCAGATATCTGTATGTAGTGATTTGTCCCTTCAATAATTAAATGATCTGGTGACAAATGAAAGTTATGATTAGTAAGTCTATAATTGTATTTTCACTAAACAAAGATTAAGAACATGTCTCTAGCTAACCAAACTTAGTTTTGTCGTTTCCACTTTCTGGTGACATTTTATGATTCAAGCATTGCTTAAGCTTAGGGTTAGGCATTGCTTAACTCTCTCAACAAAACAACCATTAATTAGCGTTGCAAACGATTCATTTAATTTTCTTTGCTTTAACTTTAATAAACATAGCATCATCTATTAAAAGAAAAGAAAGATAAACTTTATCTTCATCTCTTAATCAGCTTTGTTATATTCATGAATAAATCTGATTGACATAATTAAATCTATAACAAAAGGAACTTTTACTTTCGAAAAGAACAAAATCACGGACTTCTCATTGTGCATGTAAAAGGCTTGTAGAGATTAGAGAAGAAGAAAAAAGGAAATGGATGATTAAAGGCTTCCCGAACATTAAGGCTTTTTCTCCCAAAAGAAGTAAAGAACATATTATGTCGAATATATTATACACAAATGTAGAAAATGACCTCTCCACTATTCAGAGCCTAAAGAAAACTGTTTGATTCAAAAATGAAATAAAGTTAACTTAAAAAATAGTTTAGCTAGGAATATCTGAATAAAAGTATTGGTGAGATGAGATCTATCAAACGGATCAGTAAATCCTATGACTAACCTCCGATGTTTAATTTGTATATAATTTTGTGAAATTTGAATCATCAACTATCTATATTTACTCTTATATTTGTTTTTCACTTTTACTTACTGTTTTAAAAAAGCCATGGTCTGTAAATTTATCCACTAGTTTGTGGTTACAAGATCGTGAGACTTTGCTAATATGTAGACGTAGCGTCAAAGTTTGTTTCGATCGTCATTTTGCTTTCATGAATTTTTTAAAAAAATAATTACCATTATGTTACCGATCAAAAGCTAAAAGACAAACAGTTACGTAATTAGATTTGGATTATCATAAGATTTGACAATGTAAACTTATTAAGAATCTTCACTTTGGAGGAATAAACTTTCTCTGAAAGAGAAGGTTCGGGATTATAAGGCCTTTTTCTTTCCGGCCCACTAGAGTCCAATCTTCGTCGAAAGAAACCAGCAAAAAAAAAGTGAAGCAACTCTTTTAGAAAACAAAAATCATGTAAAAGAAAACCTCAAATGGGTCTATATATAAAACCTCAAAACAAAGTCAATGTTCTAGGCCCAATATAAACTTAACCAGAAAAAGGGAAAAAAAAGTCATATACACAAGTGTTGATACAAACTTATGCTATATGAAGTATGAATTCAAAATCTATAAAAGTCAAAATAATAATAGTAATAAATTCAAAACTATTGCAATTGTTGAAAACAGTATTTATGAACAAACATTTGTCAATTGCAATGCTACATAATTTTTATTCGAAATTTAGTTTTACTTACAAAAAAGCAATAAATTATGTGTTTTCATAATAAAAATAGTTTACTTATGTTTTGTAATCTATTATTTCTAATTTTTTAACCCAATATAAAGTTTCTTCCCATCAAAAGTTTTTAAGATATCATTATCTTTCTCACTTTTGGAAATTACATGAAAATACCTAAGCCTCAAAACACATGAATCACAAGTAAAACAACTTTACTCAAAATCCCAAAACCCCACAAAAGTTGAAAGCTTTCTAATATATAAATAAACTAAAAAGAATGAATTTAATAATACTTTGTCTAGTACCCTAAAAGATGGGTTAGCCATGTGGGTGCAGAGGATCAAGTAGCCCATGAAAGAAAAAGTTAAAACCTTAAAAAAATATATAAACAGATCATAAAAAAAAATCATGAAAATTTGGGAATAGCCATTGTTGAAGACAACAGCTGTCACAATGAGGAAGATATATTCATAATATAGATTAGATTATAAAACAATACATATAGAGAGAGAGACATAAAGAAGAGATGAGAGATGATGCTAAGGAAGAAGGGAACCAAACATAGAGCACAACAGGAGACAATTCATTTTAATTTTCACTCTCTTCAATGCATTATGGGCTTATGGCCTTACCCTCAAATTTTCAGTTTCATCAACCAAAAATTATTTATTTCTCTGATTATTATGTATATATTTCTATTTTTATTTCCAAGTTTCTTGTCTCTTCACTAAATTTCTGTATTTATTTCTTCTGATATTTTGATTTGATACAATCTAGTATCCTTAAAAGGGTCGCCCTATTGCCTTGACCTACCCTTTGTTCATGAATACCAAGAAACAGTATCTTCGTACTATAACATTTAACTAAAGAAAACAAAATGCTAAAAATAACACTCAAATATTGAATTAAAAACTCACAAACAAAATGCTATTATCACAAAATACAACATTACAAACACAATGCAAAAAGATTTCCAAAGACCCTCAAAACATAAAGACAAAACCCTAACAAATTTAACACACATTAATGATAAAATGATCAGACAACAAAAGAGATTAACATTTGTTTTGAAATAAACCAAAAATAAAGAGAGAAAATTAAACATACAAAATGAGGATCTGAATAAAACCAAAGATGCAATAAGTAATATCATCAGTTCTTGCCTTTACCTTTATGGTCTGATGAGTTTCTGCATCCATTTTCATAGTAAAGCTGAAACTGGTGATTATGGTTGTGATTGTGGTGGTGATTCTCTGCAGGCAGTGCACCGAATAAGAACTGTGGACCTCCACCATTTTCTGATGATGGAAACCTCTGTAGATTAGCGAGAAATGACTGATGCTGATGATGATTTGTTGAATTGGACTGAAGGGTCCCCCTGTTGAAACCACTGAACCCACCAGCTGATGCGGCGGAGACGGCAGCTCCGGCGCCGGAGGGTGTCGACATGTTGAAATCAAGATTGAATGCTCCACCGTTGGATCCTGCCGGTGATATCAAATGGTCGGGAACGAATGAAAACTCTTGGTGTGGATGATGATGATGATGGTGATCGGAGATTGATGAGAAAGGATGAGAATTTGTTGAAATCGGGAAATGGGTTTGTTGACCCGACCCGAGAATTAAACCCGAACTAAAATACTCCATTGGAGATGAAGAAGGAGCTGAAGCCATCCATTGCCGGTTTGAGTTAACCGGATCTGAACCGGAATTTAACAAATCGGTAAACGAAGAAGTGTGGTTATGATCTCTTTCCTTGGTCTCTTTAGCTGTTCTCTCTCTAGCTCTCTCTCTAGCTTTATCTCTAAGCTCCGATCTTGATAAAGACAAACCAGAAGAGTTCTTGCTCGTGTCTGAATTACTACTACAAGCCGATTTAGACAACGAATTCGCCGCAGCAGCAACTGTTGCTAATGTCTGGTTCTGATGATTCTCGTCATCGGTCGGAAAATGAGTGTTGTTGAGTGAAGGAAGCTCAGAGATTGAATCTTCAGCAGCTTTGATTAACCATTCAACAGCTTTGCTCGGTTGGTCGTAACCTAACCGATCTTGAAGATCATAGAATTGAAGAGCGGTGGAGACTGATAACCGGACACGCCGGTCACGTGGTCCTTTCGAAGTCAAGACTTTGCTATGTCGATCTTTACCACCGGAAGCTCGTGAAACCCTAATTATCCGGGAAGAATTGTGATGCCACCGGCTTAACCGGTTGTTGTTTCCGCTATCCACAACGTCGCCATTGTTATTCTTCATTAGATCTCCAATCATTTCATCATCACCAATAATCTCATCACCAAAGAAAAAAATTAGGGTTTTTTTTTTTTTTGGTTTCCCCCAAATTTAAAAATTTAGGGTTGGTTTGGGATTTAAAGAAGTGGAAAAAAATGGGTTTTTAAAAACTTTTTGTTTTTGTTTTGTTTACCCACTGTACTTTGTAAGCATTGATGATGAAAACCCTCAGAGGAAAAAAAAAAAAAAAATGTGTTTTTTTAATTAATTTAGGGTTTTTGATATTTCACCATCAAAGTCAGTAGATACAGCTTCGTTTAAGCTTTGTCTGAAGCAGCTGTTGTTGTTGCAGAGTCATCAAAAGCACTGTCTGAAATGATTTTAACCACAAGCCTGCAATAACAAAAACAAAGAAACAATCTCATAAGAACAAATCTTTACATACATATATAAATAAATGCTTATCTCTATGTTACATCTTTATCTACTTTTTTCTACAGATGACTTTCATATATACACATATTTAAGATATCAGTTATATTCTGATTCGAATTTATGCTCTCTACTCATTTTAGATCTGACATCACAACACACAAAATAAAGATGGTTTTAAAGTTAATGATCTTAATTAATTATAGAAGAAGCTAGAAGAAGAATCAGAAGCTATGATAAATAATTAAGCTGATCTGAAACAAGCAATTGCTTTCGGCTGAAGCGATTATCAATGGAAGACTTTAAAGAATAAGAAGACAAAAAATGCAGAAATCGAGTTTTGAATTAGCTTTTCTCTATATAAAGATTTGGTGTTTTCTAATTATGAAAAGAGTTGTTTCATAGTTAGCAACAAGAAGATTAAATGAATTTAAAAATCTTAAAAAAGGAATCATTATTGATGTGTTCTGGATTCTATGTAGATCGTTGGACTCTGGATGAAACAGGTGTCAAGCTCTTGGCTTTGAGATTTTATGAAACCAAATTTTTAAGGAACAAATACACTTCTTTCTACAGTGAGTTTTCTTTACTTGAAGAAATTCTCATCAAGAAACCAAAATCTTAGATCTAGAATTGTTTTTTTTTTGGAATCAGAATTGAGTAATAACACAAAATTCAGATTGATTTTTGTAATTCCAAACATAAGTGTGTGAGAGAAATTGAGACTTACAGAAACAGAGGGAGCTTGAGCTGTGAGTTAGTAGTAGTAGGTGATGAAGAAAGAGGTCTATAGGGTTTTAGGGATTTGTAATATGGAAATAAAAATCCGAGAAAATTGGAATTTCTTTGATGGTGAGTTTAAAGGAGTGATCATCAGATGAAGAGAGAGATATTGGGCACAAACCCGTCTTTGATTTTATTTCCATTTTTGCCCTTTGTTACATATGTTTTTCACTGAATTGCCACGGTCCTCTACAAAATATCGGAATTAAATTATCATCCTTAGTATAGTGTATTTATGATTTTAAATTACAATTCAGGTGATAGAAAAACAAATTGTAATGTAAATTAAATAGGTTGATTTTTTCGTTTGTATTTTGGCATTAAAAACACAAAAATTTACATTTTATGAATTGTTTCTAAGAAGTTGTGAACATAAATGTTATAAAAATGTCAGACAGAAATCAATGCTTGAATATGAAAAAATCATATTATCTCATGTCACATGTATATTATGTAGGAGAGGAAAACAAAAAATCAATTTGTCAAAGTATCCTTAATTAGGAGAGTGACTTTCATGATTTTATTATGTTTATAGAATTCGATTTATACATTTTGCCAACAAAAAAAAAAAGAAGAAGGAATTCGACTAATACAAACACCTTTCCATGTAAATTTGATTTATATGTATTGCCACTCAATAATCTACTCTATGCTTATATGTTTCGATCATAATAATTGCTATATGGAAATACATATACTGTCCTAATCATAACAATATATTTAATCTAATATCTAATTATTCTTTTTTCACAAAAAAAAAACAATGTATATTATGTACTTCCAATGATCTACTATAATTTGATTATTAATGTTGAAAATATTATTACTATCAAACACAAGATCAACAAAAATCTTAGGTTTTTTCTAATTTTTTATTATTATTTATTTATAATGTTGAATATATTTATTTTTTGTATCAATTTTTCGTAATTACGCAACTCATGATGCTTCAAAACATGTTATGATCATAATGTTCAGTGTAGTTTTAACTATCTTGAATTTATATTATTTTATAAGATAATTTTAGGGATGTGCCTTTAGTCAAGTGGTTTAGTCCATTTGACTCCGCCTTCCCACTGGAGTTCGACTCCACTAAATCGCGTTACCTCGCGTAGTAGGGATTGGTTATGGATAGGGCCTTGTCGATCCAAAAATGTTAAAGAAAAAAAAAATAAAACAATTCCATGGGTAAGGTTACTTTCCTTTATTCACGTTTGGCACTTGATAATATATGGTCATACTAGTTGGAAAAATTATTTTACTGGTCGAACAACAGGGAACTTATAATATTATTACAATTATTTGAATAATTTACTAGTACATTATTTGAATTTATAACAGACTAATTTTTTCAGAAGACCATGTATTTTGTCGATTTACTCTATAATACTTTCGATGAAATTTAATTCATGTGTTGCAATCGTATTGACAACTAGAAAACCACCTCTAACACATACAATCATAAGTTTAATTGTCACATAATTAACAATTTTTTTCTTTTTTAAGTATAACCTATATTATCCCAATCACATATAAAAACAACTGTTATTTTGGAGACAATGCAAAACACAATCATCAAAGTAAGCACATAATCCAATCAAATGTCTAAAATTTAAACAAACTATTTAAAAGTAGAAATTACTAAATTTCCGGAGAAAATGGTATTTAAGGAAGCATGAAAACTATTTTTGACTATTTCAAAACCTATATATTTCTTTTCCACCTAACTAATCATATTGATAAAGAAATCCAAACCCATATTTTAATAACTTAACACTATGTCAATCCCACATCACATCACTAGAAACTTCATGGAAAAAACACGCAGAATTCAATTCTAGAACTAAACAATTGTTTGCATTCACGCAATTTTAATAATCTTTTTTTTAGTCAAGTGGTATTACACCATACTTTATTAACTTTAATAAGTACACATTAGTTACTAGTTAATGTGGTTTGTGGAATTCAATAATAGTGATTAAGAATAAATGACGAAAAAGGGAAAGAAGTAGAGCAAGTGGTTCACGACGGGCTCGAGAGCACGTGTCGCTGTCTTAACAGACACTTGCTCACTTCTCGATCACTGTTGCCTTTACCAGACCACTGCACGTGTCTCCATCTTGGTCACCCAAATTTCTGCTTACTTATTTTTTTCCTGCTTAATTTCTTTTAATTTTCTGCTTCTGCTTATTCAAGTCCTTTTAAATGAATTCCAATCACTAAAATAAACAGCAAAAAAGAAAAAAGAAAACACAACAAAAGTCTAAAATTAATAACCTGATTCTTATATGTTGTTTTAATTTTTTTAATATCAACCTTATTAAGTTGTAGTTGGCTTTGGAGATTTATCTATTAATTTCTTCTTTTTGCATCATATATAGTATACTATCATTCTACTTGTTTAGTTAGGAAATGGTAATTATGTTCTGTTCCTTAATAGTAGTCAATACTGTATATCAAGATTCGCAATACCCATGTATATGTTTGCTCGTTATGTAAGATTTTTTAGGATTAAATAACTAATCATCAATTAAACCAAATTTTAAATACGGTCATTACCGTTTAAATTTCACTAAAAAATTCTTGTACATTTCAAGAATTTAGAGTATCGGTATTTTAAATAATTCTAAACCAAACTATTCAAAAATAATTAGAAAATAAAAATAATGCATGGATCTGTATCTTTACTAGATTCGTATTGTAGTGGTACTGTTTTGACCACAGTGAGTGATGTGATGTTATGATTTTATAAACAGCCTTTTATTGCACATGTACTATTTTCTGGTCATTGCAACTATGTACTATTACTACTGGCTTTCACAAAAATAATATATCTAAAGTATTTTTTGTGTTGTTAAATCTAACTATTTGTTTCCACTTTAGTTTTTTGTATATATGAAGATTTAGTCAGTATAAAAAATAGATTTATTTGAAACACAAAAATGGACGATGAAATTAACAAATCGTCTACATTGTACAATGTACATGTTGGGTAAATTATCTAAAAAACGAGACTAAATTCAAACGGATTAAAAAGACAATCCAAACCAAAACAAAAACCATACGAAATCGAAATATAATTTTTGTTTACTGTACAAACATAAGAAAAAAAAAAATCCGACAACAAAGTTATTATAAGGAATAATTTTCTTAATCTATTGGGTCAAGTGTTTTGATTAAGAGAGTACATTAAAATACAAGTGAAGTTGATGTCCTTTTAAAATGGACCATTAATGAATCTAGTGGGGGCATGACTCATGATTAATTTTGTCCATTAAGCTTCTTACATGCTCTATATATGGAATAAACCCTAATTGTGATTAGAAAGATAGGTCCACCTAGAGATATATACCTTTCCATTATTAGATTAAGTATAATTTAATTTATTACTACCCATTACATGTAAATCAATCCAGACTACTCTATAAACTAAACTTGATTTTTATTGGTTATTTATCTTTCAGTCAATCATGGAAGGACCACAACATACATCCATATATTTGTTATATAGATATATGATATGTTATAGCATATTAAATAAATTATTGCATAGTTAAAGTGAGTTCAACGTCATGTTTCCATGGAGGTTCAAAACTATGATTAAAGCAGACGAATATGTAAAATTACATATTTAGCAAAAAAAGAATATGTAAAATTAATTTTTGAAAATAATTATTTGGACAATATTGTACGTGAGTTAAGGCCCAGTGGTATACTTGAGTTAAGGCCCATGTTAAGAAGTTTCGGTTTAAATCTTTGGCTTGTTTGGTTTAGTGCGGTTTATATCTTCAGTTCACTTTCCTTTATATGCGGTATAAAAGTGGAAAGTCTTCAAAACTAAGGGCCTTTCCGACAATTCTGGCTAAATAGAAGGGAACACCGGTCGTCTAAAACAGGGGAAGATATTTAAACTCATCAGACTCTCGCACCATTTAGATTCTACTACGAATATGGAGACAAGGTTTCCAAATGTTACAAAAATCACCCTACCTCTTTATCTCAGACGACAATGATCAGAATAATCTCCAGTACACGAGCTTGAAAGACGTGATCTCAAGTTCCGATGGATTTGGTTCGTTGTTTTGTCACCCACAATACAGTGTTCCTTCACAAGATGGGTTTCTCTTGTCCGAGATGGATTCTTCTAACATCGCCATTAGAAACGAGCTTGTGAAAAGAGCAGCTTCGATGTATGTTCAATCTTCTATGGTTGTTATTGCTCCTGATACGAACTGGTTCCAGAGATTCTGTTTGAAAGCTAAGCATCAGGCGGTTGCTGCGATTGATTGTCTTAGACCAGTTTGCCGGATTTTCGCTCGGTCTAGTTAAGAGATGTCTTTAGAAAGGGTGATTCGAATTCTTCTTAGTAAATGTGTAAATATTGTATATAATTTAGATAATCAAATAAAAATTTCAATCTTTCAACAAGTTTTTTACTTCACCTGAAGCATAGGAACCGATCTATGAACATCATACCTACGTAGGAAATTAAGCATCATACCAAGTCTTTTCTTTTAACGTTTTTTCTTAGCTCGTTTGGAAGAAGACCTCAACGTCTCTTTTCTCAGATCTTCCGTAGCTTTCGTGTCCAGGAACGGCTGCAAAATAAGAGCAAAATCAAACGAGTTAAAACTTAAAACACATGAAAGACGGGTTCATCAAGTTTCACCGTTTTGGTTCCAAGTCTAACCATTTCAAACCCAACTTGAAAGAAAGAACCCACTTTGGATTTTATGCCCTTGGTAGTTCTTTGCGTTTAAGCAACTTCCTGACCCGACCTTGTAGTCAATTATAAGAGTCTGATCCTTAGATTTATTCATTGGTTTCATGCTTTGATTCGTTTTAGAGTCGATATGCAACTAACATGATATAGAAACCAACACTTTATTTAGATAACAACGGGTTCATTGTACAACTTAACAAGTATTTACCCGAAAGCTACAAGTTCATACAAACAATGAATAGATCAGGAGATGGATTCCTAACCTCGTCCTTTCTCTTTTGAAGCTCGAGAAGTTCTCGGCAAAGAGCTAGACACTCGGCGTGGTAAGCAGCTGCTAAATCCTTAATCAAAGCTTTCCTTTTGATGATCCCAATCACTTTCAAAAGAACCAAGTCAAAGCATTAAGTTAGATAAATAGCAAAACAAAACCACACTACAGATATTGAAAGAAGTAAAAATAGCAAGCTGGTGAATCATGATCAAACCAAAACCATAAGTAAGATCTTGAACATCAATGATTCATCTTAAAGATAATAGTTCATATCTATACAGTTGCTTGTAGAATGCAGATGGAGAATCACTATACTTTCATGAATCTTCTTCATTTGAATTTTTGTAAAACTAAGAAACAGAATCAATGTTCACATCAAGTTTAGCTATAATCTCTCAGCAACCAAAGTAAAGATAAGCTCTTTCAACACTTAGTCAAATTCGTGATTATGCAGGACCAATGATTTTAGATCAGAACTTAAAAAAAATGCGGGCTTTGGGTACGATTAACAATGGCGGAGAAGAACTCGGGGATAACACATCAGTCTTATTGAAGGGAGATTAAAAGAGAAAATCCAGAAAAGCAAAACCCTAGAAATCAATTTGATGTTGCAGAAGAAAGGGGAAATTTAAGAGAATTACTTCGACTAGGATCGAATGTAGCCGGAGAAGTAGAAGATTCCGGCGGTGGATCTTTGGGTTGAGGTGAAGATTCCGGCGGAGAAGGAAGAGGAGGTTCCGGTGAAGTTCGCTTCTCTTCTTCCGCCATTAAAGGAGTTTCAGGAAAAAAGTTTTCTCACTGTGATTTTTTTTTTAATAATCAGATGAAGAAAATACAAAATCTCCTAATTTCAATTTTCCACTGTGATTTATTTATTTCTGTTTTGTTTTTGTGTTTGCCGTTGAATAAAGGGTTGACTTCAGTAACTTTTTTAATTCTTTCTAATGTCATTTTATCCAATTAGTTATACTATTATCATGATTTATTTCAATGAAAAAGGCGTTATAAAAATTTAACAAATCTAACTAGATTTTGTTATAAGAATCTAAAATAGTACAATTGAGTTATTCAGGTATATCAACTGTTATTTTTAAAATTTTGGATAATTACATAACCTTAAAAAAGTCTTCTAATCTTCTCTATATAAAGCTCTTCCTTTGTTTCCCATCCACTAATTAAACAATCAAAATCTTTCATACATAAACACCTTAATCTTCTTTCCTCTGCCCATTTCAAGACAACGAAACTCTTAAAATTGCATCAATGGCGAATGAAATGAGGTTTATTCAAACATGGGGAGAGGTCACACCTTCACTATCTCATCGGATTCAGCAGAGACGATTATCGAGGAGCATCTCGCAGCCTAAACTGGAAACGATTTTCGAAGAAGGATGTGATAGTTTTGCGGTCAAGGCGCCTAAACGGATTGTGATATTTCTTCCCCTTCTACTCTCAATGCTTTTGTATTTTGTGTTGTACAAGGCTATCAAAGACTATTGATTGCTTCTTAAAATTTGTAATTTGGATGTGTTAATAACAAAATCTATCCATGATTTTAGGTCAAAGAAAAGAGCTAGGACTTGAAAGAGCCGAGCTTATTTTTACTAGAAAATGTTTTCTGCATATGTCACAAACCGTTGTAACCATGTTCGGAAGAGTTTTATGACTTTATCGGCCAAAGATCTAGAATTTTATCGGTATAGTTTGTTCGCAAAATTTGATAGCTAGTATCCAGTTTTGTTAATAAGGGATATTTTTGCATATGAATTCATTTGTCCAAAACTCGAGTGATGTTAGAATATGTTCCTATCGGTGAAAGCCAGAACTAAGAGCATAAAAAAAACATGTTATAAATGGATATTTGTTAACACTATGAATTGAAACAAAAACATAAGCTTATAGAAAACTCTTCTCCTTATACATAGTTACATTGAAATACTTACATATATTTGTTCAAGAAAATCGAACAACATGATCTTGTCTACACAACAAAACACAAGATACGGCCGATATGATCGCCGGAACAAGAAGAAACAAACGATTTCGTTGTCCCACGACGACATTGTAATAGTGATCTTGATGATTAAAATCATCGGACCTCTCTTCAAAAATGGTCTCTAGTGTCGGAGACATTGAACAACTCCGGCGAGAAATCACCGGCGCCGGCGCCATTTCAGCTCCTAATAAGAATCTTCTTCTTCCTAATTCTGATCGAACCATGACCTCAATCTTTTTTAGTTTATTTTTTTTCTCGTTCTTGAAAATGTTTTAAGAGAAAGTTGTGAAAGTATTCAGATTTCTAATGAGTTTCAATGGTGAATTCTAGGTCTGTATATATAGAGTTTGATACACGGCGACAAAAAAAACACGGTTTCAATTTGTTTGGAACAGATGGATCAACGGTTGTCTTTGGTCCAAATTGACTGAATGGCCTGTATTACTTACACACGTACGTACTAGTTTTGATATAGACAAAATTAGAAATTGTAGAAAGTAACGACAAAGTTTTCTCTATGATTTGTTGATGCACAGAAACAAACAAAAAAAAAAACAATCAAATTGTCTCAAAAATATCTTTGGGATATTTTTTTAATCAAGATCTTAATTACCATATGTATTGCTGTGAAATATGTTTTTGCTTAAATAAATGATGTTCAGTCTAATTAAACCGACTGTACACGGCCAAAATCATGCACAAAAGTTGATTAAAAGTGGAACCAAAGTTAAATAAATCAATTCACTATACAACTTATATAGTTTCTATCACTCAGATATTATAGATATCAGAATAATGTCAGTCCTGATATTGAATTATTCTCTGAAACCTTTCAAGTTTGATTTAATAAGTTTAAAAATTATTAATAGATTTAAAGAAAATAAATTCTAAAATATGAAAATAATCTAAATACTTGAATTTAGGAGAATACGACGTGAGAAGAAGAGAGAAGAAATATAGGAGAACTATGATACGTACGAACAGTAGAAGTAGTGCTTAGTATCGAGCCCACATTTCGCTTTACAAGTCTTGTTTGGTTAGCTGTATCTCTACGTGTACCAAAGAGACTCACACATGACATGAGACTTATGAAAAATTCATTTTAAAGTTTGTCAAACATTCAATATCTTTTACAACGTCTAGAAGCTAATCTTCTTTTTATCATTTTATTTCTAAACAAATAACTCCTTTTAGCCTTTTACTCCCAAAAAAGCACAAAAGTTTTTGCTCATATTATAAATATATTATTTGTCCACTTTTGCTCAATTTTACAAGTTGTCTCACTATAATTTCACAAATACAAGTATTCACCAATACTCTCTACAAGAACAAGAACAAGAACCATCTTTTTAAATGGAAGAAACCTAACCTATGAATATCTTTTTAAACTTAAACACATGTGTGACAACTAACAATCCATACAGATTTAGAGATTCTTATTAACCTTAATCGGAGATTTTACTGTGGTACACCAAAAGCTTCTCCTTTGCACTTCTCTCCACATAGTGAAGATCCGTTTCAGTCACCGGAACATATCCAACTCTGTTCAAACACTCTCTAAGCTCATCACGCTTTCTATAAATCTATTTGCTTAATTCTCAGATGAGTTCTTGTGAACTTTTCCCCACCAAGAACCGCTCCCCATATTGATGCATTCCGCATCAAACGATATTTTCCACCATCGTTTAAGTTACTTTCCCTGCCCTTCTTAACACATCCTTCACACATGCGTAATGTTTCTTGTGTCGGTTTAACACCAAACCGTCTCAAAAAAGTGTTTCGCCTCCAATACAAGTCCTACATAGTTTTATGCACAGAGGACGCTCACTATAATGTAACGAAACTGTTCCTGAAATAGCCGAATAAGTGTAACAAATTATTTCTGGTTCTTGAATCTTTAGCGAACCGAATTAAACCGGAAATTAAGTCCTGGGTTAAAAGCTAATTTAAGTATTAAAAATTGGAAATACGATCACCAATTCGGGCCCTGTAAAAGTGGTAATCAGTCTTCATGGGGCTGATGTGGAGTAGATTCCACCAGGGTTCGAGGATCATTGGTACCAATGGAGAAGGAAAGTTTGTTTCTCTCCATAAAAGCGGCTTCAAAAAAAATCAACACGGGGACTCAACACGTTGATGCATAAATCAACACTAGGAAACTTACCACACTCCTAGCTAGGTAATCTAAATTACCTATTTTTTGAAATTTTGATAATTTACCCTTAAATGAACAAGAAATATCGATCTCTTTTATTCGTCGTCGTTGATCATGGTTTGGTTGTTGTAACTCGGGCAAAGACAAAGTTAATTTCTCATCTTCTTCAATTTGAAGCTAAACTTAGTGGGTTCTTTGTAGGCATACATAGATTCGAATGTTTTGCCCAATAACTGTTTTTGTCGACTAACACAATTACAAAAAATAGATAAATTCTTTTTCATTTTAATTTGTTTTTGTGAAGAGAAGGATAAAAACAGAAAACGTGTATGAGGTGAAGGTAGATATTCTAAATTGCTCTTGTCTTTTATTAACCTTACTAGATTTAAAGACAAAAGACGTAACTATTTATTTATGGTTCTGGAATCTTTAGCGAACCAAATTAAACCGGAAATTAAGTTCTGTGTTAAAAGCTAATTTAAGTATTAGAAAATGGAAGTACGATCACCAATTCGGCCCAGTAAAAGTGGTAATCACTCTGCATGGAGATTCCATCTGGGTTCGAGCAAAACATTGGTACGAATGGAGAAGAAAAGTTTGTTTCTTTCCATATTTGACTCAACACGGGGACGTGGGAACTTGGTAAACTATATTACCAGTAGGTAATCTTAATTACCTATTTTTTGAAATTTTGATAATTTACCCAAAGTGAAAAGAAATATCTAGCTCTTTTATTCTTCGTCGTTGATCATTGTTTGGTTGTTGTAACTTGTAATTACTCGGACAAAGTCAACGTTAATTTCTCATCTTCTTCATTTTGAAGCTAAAGTTAGTGGGTTCTTTGTGGGCATAAATAGATTCGAATTTTTGCCCAATGACTGTTTTTGTTGACTCTAACACAATTACAAAAACTAGAGAAATTCTTTTTCATTTTAACTTGTTTTGGTGATAGAGAAGGATAAAAATCAAAAACGTTTTTTATTCAAAAAAAAATAAAATCAAAAACGTGTATGAGGTGAACTGGTGAAGGTATTGATTTAAACACTTTAGATTAGAAGATTGCAAGCTATAAAAGACTTCTCTCTTTTATTACTTTAAGAAACTCTCTCAAAACTTAAAGCTCTCAATCTCACAATCTCTAAAACTCTTAAGGTTAACCACATCATTGGTAACTCTTATATAGAGACTTATTTGATAACACCAAATCAAACTAGGAATAGTTTAGATATCTCCTAAACAATATTTAGATAACTCCTAAATATTCTCAATATTATCACTTCCTTTATTTTAGTAACTTATAGCTCAAGTTACTCTTCAAGCTTTATCAACATTCTCCCCCATAAGCTTGAAGTCAATCTTCGACACCTCTTGAACTCCAACAAGATTCCGCATTTCTTTGAACTTAATCCTCCCAAGTGCTTTTGTCAAAATGTCCGCCTTTTGTTCCTCTCCGGGAACGTGCTCCACTTCCACTTGCTCATTCTCAACGCACTCACGTATGAAGTGATACCTCTTATGAATGTGTTTGCTACGTCCATGGAAGACC